AAAAAAAAAAAAAAAAAAATTTTTTTTTTTTTTTTTTTTTTTTTTTTTTTTTTTTTTTTTTTTTTTTTTTTTTTTTTTGTTTTTTAAAAAAAAAAAAAAAAAAAAAAAAAAAAAAGATCACCACACGGATGTATTCTCTCCTCTTTTCTTCATAATGAATCTTTCTTCAAATTTAGTTCTCTCCACCTAAAGATGGGATCTGGCCTTATTTATTCCCTATTCAAACAGCATTCTATTTCCAACAGACAAAGTTTGACTAGTCAAACATCCAGGTATATTTTTACTTCATATGGCATAACATCAGAAATGATTTTTTATGTTTAATCAAGTGTGCTCATAAGAACGTTCTACTAACAGACAATTCCGAAATTCTACATTTAAACAAAGGACCATCATTGATAACTATCCATTAAATTATTGAACTGCAGTACGCATGGATCAGAATTGAAAATTTCTCCTTTTTCAGAAAAATGGCATGATTGACTTTTATGGTCAGCGAAATGGTTTCCACTGAAATGTTTGACATGTATGATTTGAGCTTTAATTCTAATAATTACCCGAGTCATATTACTTAGTGACAGTTTCAATATGATGCATATAATTTTGACCATAAGTAGAAAAATAAAATTGAATGGCACATTGGAAAAAGAAATAGCTGACCAATTCTTATTTGACATGACATGAGAATTTTATATAAGCCTTCGCAATATCTGCAGGCATTAATAGGTCATAGATATACTGAACGTGCATATAAAGACAGAAACTTAAGCAGAAGGAAATAAAAGCGTGATAAATGTGACTTCTAGGAAATTGTACAAAGAGATGACCAAACCTTCAAAATTGGGCCATAAATCTGCAAAAGAAGCACATGCAAAAGGGCATGTGCCAAATAGCTATTTAAATTTAGATCTTACTAGAAACCCACTAGCACTAACGCATTTCATAGCTAATCACTATAATTCTCTGCATTTGTCTCACATTTACTCATGTAAGTCACTTTTTCTCATTCCATAGCCTTTGCGCAGCAAATTCAATATTTTAATAGAAAACTTACTAGGAAATAAATAAATTTCCCACCTATGGTTCTATATAGAATAATTAGTTAAAATATTACCAAAAGTATGTTCAGGCCAACTAAGTGTTCAGACTTCAGATGCGCTCCTTCCTATGGACTTAGGATGCTGCCAAAAGAAGCAGCAAATAAGCTGATTTTAAGCTAAGCTAAACATGCTCTAAACTTTACATCACCAAATGATCACATTTTTTATTGACAAGCAATCCACAAGCGCTAATGCATTTTATAGCCAATCACGGTAGTTCTCAGAATTTGTCTTACATTTAATTGTGTAAGTCACTTTTTCTCATTCCATAGCCTTTGTGCAGCGAATTTCTTTTAATAGAAATTTTACTGGGAAATAAATATATTTCCCACCTATAATTCCGTAAAATAATCAGTTAGAAAATTTATCAAATGCATGTTCAGGCCAACTTAAGTGTTCAGACTTCAGATGCACTGATTCCTATGAACTTAGCAGATGTGGCGTGCTGCCAAAAGAAACAGCTAATAAGCTGATTTTAAGCTTAGCCAACACGCTCTAAACTCTACATCACCAAATGATCACATTTTTTTCCTGACTAGGTTCTACCCTCAAACACATACTAAGATGACTTCAGAATAAACAGGCAGCTCATGGAACATAATTACAATGGGACCAAAAATACCTGTAGCATACAGGTCAATTCACATCAATTTTTACGCAAAATAATACTAACCAGAATGAAGATAAGTGATAAACATTTAATGACCTATTATATCATAATCTAGCTTTCAACTGCGAGTGGATCTATTTTCAAACCATCAGCCAAAGTAGAGAGATAGTTTCTGATGCCAACTCAATTAAGCAATGGCTACACCCTCGCAGAAAGCAAATAAATCGAGTATTTTGCCCCTATAATTTCTCTCTAAAAACTCTCCCTCTCCACTCCGAATCGCCACAACCACTTATCCAGCAAAGTCTTATTAAACAGTACAAGACTCTCAATCCGAGACCACCCAACCTTATGGGAGAACAAACTACACCCCAGTTAACCAAATGTAATTTCCTCTCCTCCCATATTTCTCCCAAAAGAAACTCCCTTTGGATCATCTCTAATCTTTTTGCCATTGCCTTAGGAATAGAAAACAATGACAAAAAAATAAGTAGAGAGATTTGAAAAAATGAATTTTATGGGAGTAAGACGGCCTCCCTTGAGAGGTGCATACGTTTCCAACCCGCTAGCCTTCTCTCCACCCTTTCACAACAGACTTTCAACCTCTTTTGTCTGTCTGCAAAATGTGTAGTTGCTAACATTCTTATTAGACTTTGCAAGCTCTTTCGACTTCAAGTCCATTTCTCAAGCCTCACAATAGATGAAGATAATCAACATGCTATTTAGTTACATTAACAGCAGCTTCTTTAGGGGGGAGAACAAGGAGAAAACAGCCACTTGAACCATCCCACCCCAAAAGGAAAAGTGACTTGGAGAACTCTAGCCCACCCCTCCATTTGTCATTTGCATAGAAACAAATAAATTAAGAATGGGGAAACTGAGAAGAACATGGAGAAAACTGTTTCCAAAATCTTTTCTATGTTATAATCTATTTATTTCATTATATCTGAAATATTCTTCAAAAGGTTCAGAAGAACATGTCTATGATCTGCAATTCTTTCAAAGGTAAAATATAATACAAAATGAATATAGGGTACATGCAAATAAAGAATTGCAAATCTACAACCTTACATTTAGGCAAAAAATACGCTAATCTCAACTACATACTCAAAGCTCGCATAGTGATTGCACAGGCATCTGCATATAAGTAAACGAGAAATTTTGTGTGCCAGTGCATGTCTTTGTATTCTCAACAACAACAAAAGTACCTGTTCCCTTATTCTACTAACAAAATTTCTAAGATTCGGCTTCTCTGTAAATCTCTTATGTGTGAAGGCAGGGACAACACCATCATCATATGAGAAATCCATAGAACCCCTTTGTCCCTGTAATTCAGCATGGAATTCATAAAGATCTATTGTAGTACGATGGAGACATACTCAAAATCAAATATAAGTCCACAATAAAAAAAATAAAAAGCAAAACAAAACAAAACAAATTGGAATCTATAATTTTTTTTAAATTTGGAATTCTTCAGACAGCTCAGATCAAATTTTAACTTATAAGAAAGTGTTAAGGCAAAAACAAAACATAAACTATGTGTTTATGGGACCCACATAATGAGCAGCGATAGTCTGCAAGAGTATTGTCACCTCGGCTATCAGATTCTGCATTTCTGGAGGCCCATTTATGCAAACATCACATCTGCACGTAAAACAAGTAGGAGGTACCATAAGATCCCAAATGTAATTTAAAAAGCCATTATTGCACCGACAACGAAACAGATGTTGATTGAGAATCGTGTTCCAGACATTAATCAATTCAGTTTAGCAACATATCCAGACTGATTACTCTCTATCAAGAAATGAAATGTAAGCATTTTAAGGCTGCCAGTGAATCAAGATAAACCAAGGCAAGATGTTTGTGGTTATTAATCTAAAATGAACATTTGCATTAAGCTCGTGCTCTTGATGGACACAAAGTATATATCGGCACTTGTCCATCACTGTTTGCAAACAAAGAAGCAATAGACAAACATCATGCAGTCAAAAGGTACGAAATTATTTCTTCTTCAGAATTGAAACTGTTTACCTCACATATGCACTAGAAACTATTCATTTAAGAGTGAGAGAGAATAATTTGGCAAAAGGTGGTCGTGGTGAGGAAGAAGTGATGCAATTTGCGTATACTTAATTGTAAATCGAAAGATTTATCTCATAGTATATTCTGAATTCAAACTATTAGTGTGCAAAAAACCACCTACGGAGAAAATAATATTTTGTTCATGTTTCCCTAGTTTACTTGCATAAGCAAACAAATTGCATCCATATACAGCTCACTTAATAAATGAAGTAATGAACAAACAACAAAGGCCCTTAAGTGAGATAAAGACCAAGCTCTTCATATAACTACCAGTTCATTGCAGCCCGCCCAAGGGGTTCTACAGAGAATGGAGCTTTTCTTTAGATACTTAATAAGATTATCGAGAACAATTTGATCACCTTTGTCAAATGGCGGCCATTTATTTATTTCATGCACTACATATATATACATAAATGATAAAACACATCTAGCAAATCTATGATGCACAGACACGGACACGTGTGTCCAATAAGATACACCGACACATGATTTTTCAAAAAAGTACCGACATGACACGTTAATTAAAATCTTTAAAAATCTCATTTATATAGTATAAATTTTGTTTTACACTTGTTATTAATTTTTTTTATCTTTTTATTTTTTGTTTAAATCTTTTAAATATGAATACATATTTATTACTTACTAATAAGTTTAAGTTAAAAATATATAATGTTTTTAATAAACAATGAAAAATGTTTATGATAGAGTGTCCGAGAAGTGTCAATATCGACACGTGTTGGACACGGACACGCTACCCTAATTGAAGTGTTCGTGTTACAGAATAGCAAATCATAGCAGAACTAGATTGAGTATGAAATGGAAGGGTAAAGCTCAATCAAAACCCAATCCATTCAACAAACTCAATAGAACCTCTCAGATTCACTTAAAAAAAGTGTCTACATAAGTGGACACTCAAAAACAAGCTAAGTATATGTACAGGCATGCCTACATTTGCAAATGGGAAAACGACGACGATGAATGATTATGGAAATCAAAAATTTCATACATTCACAAGGGATCCAACTACTACGAAAACTTGTTCACCACAGGAACAAATTTTATACTTTTTCTAAGCAGATTAATAAGAAATTCTTTAAGAATAACAATATCTAGAGTGATAATAGAGACGACAAGAAACATGGAGGCAATAACATTAAGAGCCAAACCCAGCTACAATTTCTTTTATTATTTTTATCGAAGAGTATACAATACAGAAAAGGACAGCAGCTTGCGAGAAATGAAACATCACATACAAGAGACATTTCTCCTGGGAAAACTCCTCGCCAAAGTACTCGACAAGCATTTTGGCTCTACAAGAAGAAGTGTGCATTCCATATCTGCAGGGATAAGAAAAAATGAAAATGATATTCACAAGCACGGAGGGAAAAAACATATCTGATGCATGTATAATTGATGTTCACCTGAAGCAATCAGATAACATCTTATATGATTGCTTTGTTTGTTCTTCACTTCTCTGACTGGGCAAAAGTGTTGGTATTCTTGACATGTTTGCATATAGGACTGCTCAACAGTTACCAAATAGCTTAATATATTTTGACATCTATATATAGTAAAAATCAACAAGATTTCACTTCTGCAACACAAAGTAAATTGCTTTCTGAATGGTAAAGAGTGTAGAGATTGTGAATTACAATTTCTACATGTCCTTTATCTTCCTAAACTACATGATAGGTTTATAAAAACTCAATGGACAACTGGCAGATTTTAAGCTTCCAATAAATTTCACATGAAACGGGATCAAACTAACCACAATCTGCTAAGTTTCCATCCCGACCTGCTCGACCAGCTTCTTGGTAGTATGCTTCCAAGCTCTGTAAACAAACTACTAAAGGGTTACAGAGAGAACCAAATGTTGTACAAGCAGAAAATTACAGATTGAAACTAAAAATTTTGTGCCCGGCAAGAAACAGATGGCAAACAAAAGTATGGTGTTGAAAAATAATAATAATAATAATAATACAACCTTAAAAAAATGCTTGATGAACCTGTTACTACAGTATAAGACTAGAGGGATGAATATAATAAAGTATTCACATTGCATTAAATTCGAAAACATCTTTAGAGAATTATAAGATTCCTTTGGAAATGTCCCTTAAGATAATCAAAAAATCAAATTACATGCAGTAACATCAAATTTAAGAATAGACCTGGGGCCATCCATAATGAATAATCCTACGGACATTCGATTTATCAATACCCATTCCAAAAGCAATAGTTGCAACCACCACCTGGAGGAAAGATAAAAAATTTCCTTAATAATATACAAAGTATCAAGTTAAAATAGATTGAACTACAGTTGCTCAGGATAAAGAACAAATGTCAGGCAAATACGATAAAAAAATTTGCTTAATAATATACAAAGTATCAAGTTAAAATAGATTGAACTACAGTTGCTCAGGATAAAGAACAAATGTTCAGGCAAATACGATTTTCTTCACCAGTTAACCAACAGATGCCAATACGTTGAATTCTTCTCAGAACAGATGCTATGTTACTTCTAATACATTTACAGATAATACCAAGTTCTCAAGGACCAAAATTTATTAGAGTGTGCAGGCTACCTAAATATGTTTCTTATCACACACAACATAACCTTGAAACAAAATTGCATTAGACTATAGAAACCCAAAGAAGGAATGATGACAAGAAGCGTGGCCTGGCAATGCTTCTTTACAATAATTATATACGCTCAAGCTTTCAAAGGATTAACATTAACAATTCTCTATACTGAATAATAGAGAAGCAAATGGAAAATAAAAGCAGAAACCTAAGTTTTCTGCAGGATGACATTTACTCAGTAACTCATTTGTCTCAAGGCTTCCTGAAGGCAGTCAAAGTGTTACCTGGATGGATTTCTCTACTACACCATTATAGAATAGAACTTTTAAACTTCCAAAAGTGTGCCCCTGTTATCAGAGACTAGGTAAGCGTATGTACAAACTAGGGATGTAACATTCTTTGAAAATAAATGTTATTTGCCAGAAAAGAAAAAATTCTATACCACTATGGATGTACATTCTTTGAAAATCAAACTTTCTACCCCAAAACTCATAGAGGTGGAGAATTCTGGCATTAGAAGAGGAGAAGAATATCAGTTTTGGCAACTAGAACCTATCACAGCTACGGCAATACCACCTGAGCCAATTACATCCATATCACCCGAGCCAACCTTGCTCATTCCTCCTCAGTTTCCAATCAAACCTGTAGAACCTGTCGTCAAATCTCCGACTCTAAGTGCAGGTGAAAAGGCAAAGAACTCCAAGTTTACTCCAGAAGGTCAAAAACTGACAAAAAAATAGAGAATCCAATTCTTCCCGAGCATGGCCAAGCATCTGATCTAAGTGCTGACCCTGCGGATTCAGGTAACATCAAAAGTCCATCTGATTCTATTTCCTTATCATTTGATGATCTTGAGGTTCCATTGCCCAACGGAAAGGAGTCAGGTCTAGTACTCAGCACCCTGTATAATTTCATGTCATATGACAATCTTTCACATGTATATCGTGCTTTTATTTCTAATCTGTTACTTATAGGGATTCCAAACAATGTTCAAGAGGCTATGAAATGTCCAAAATGGAAAGAGGCCATAAATGAAGAAATTCAGGCTCTCAACGAAAATGGCACATGGATTCTCCTAGAACTTCCAAAAAGAAAAAGACCAGTCGGTTGTAAATGCATCTTCGATGTAAAATACATAGCAGATGTAAGCTTAGACAGGTACAAGGCTAGGTTAGTAGCGAAAGACTACACTCAAACATATCGAATCAATTCTGTTGCTAAACTAAATACAATTCGAGTCCTCTTATCTTTGGCCTCAAACTTACACTGGCCAATGGCCACTTCACCAACTAAACATCGAGAATGCCTTCGTAAATGAGGACCTAGAAGAAGAAGTCTACATAGAAATTCCACCAGGGTTTCAGAGGGAAAAAAAATTCCAGACAGGTGTGTAAATTAAAGAAATCATTGTACGGACGAAACAATCACCAAGAGCATGATTTGAATGGTTCAAAAGGGTTGTGAAGAAATATGGTTACTCACGGGGACAATCTGCATACACTCTTTACCAAACACTCGCCTGATGGGAAACTCACTCTCATTGTATACGTGGATGATATAATTGTCATAGGAAACAATCAGGACAAGATAGTCTGTTAAAGTCTATTATTGCATCAAAATTTAAGATAAAGGATCTCGAAAATCTAAAATACTTTCTCGACATGGAAGTGGCCCGCTTAAGCAAAGGAATAACTATTTTCCAAAGGAAATACACCCTTGACCTGCTTACGAAGACATTTATGCTCGGTTGTAAACCAACGAATACTCCTATGGACTCAATGCATAAGATTGGGATGAAGGAATGTAGTGCTCCAGTCGACAAAGGAAGATGTCAACGACTAGTAGGAAGACTAATTTATTTATCTCACACTAGACCTGACATCAAATACTCCATAAGTGTTGTTAGCTAATTCATGAATAATCCAACTGAAGAAAATATGGAAGCTGTATACCAAATACTCAGATATTTGAAAATGACACCAAGCAAAGGACTACTCTTTAAAAAGGGGAACAATAAGAGCATTGAAGTCTACTCGGACGTAGACTGGGCAGGTTCTATAACTGACCGTCGATCCACTTCTGGTTACTGCACCTATGTATGGAGAAATTTAGTCACTTGGCTAAGCAAACAAACAATCTGTGATAAATAGGAGTAGTGCAGATGCTGAATTTCAAGTTTTGACCCTTAGCATATGCGAAGTGATATGGCTAAAAGGATTCCTAGATGAACTAAAGATCTTATGTGATGACCCAATTAAAATGTATCGTGATATTCTAGATACTATCAGCATAGCTAAAAATCCAGTTCATCATGATAGAACGAAGCACGTGGAGATAGACATTTTTATCATGGAGAAAATAGAAGAGGGAATCATCAAGATGATCTATGCTCCTACACATCCTCAGACTGTAGATATACTTACAAAGGCCCTTCCAAGAATCAACTTCGACCATCTAGTTTCCAAGCTGAGAATGATCGATATCTATTTTCCAGTTTGAGGGGGAGTATAGAATTAAAGGAGTTGATTTTGTAAGGCAGAGCAGAATGATCTGGAGTTGATTTTCAGACGCATCATATGTATTTATATAATTATATTTAGCTGTATTAGTTTCCTATTTTTCTCTGATTTAGTTAGATATGTTAGACATATTAGTTTCCTAAATTAGTATCGAGAATCAATGAATGTGAATCCTGTGATTTCTCTTCGGGTACTCGTATATATTCAGCATTCTCTGTGACTAATGAAACAAGTTATTTCACCATCTTATTCTAAACAATCAAATTCACTAATCTTTTTGCTGAGATTTGGAAACAATGGTTCAAGTTATTTGCTTTTATATCAAGGTTACCTGCAAGGCATCTTCATGGAAGTCCTTGTGCACCTGTCTGAGATGTGATTTTGGCAACTGTGACGAAAGGAAAGAAATTTAATTACAAATTGAAGATCAAGGAGATGAAATTATAGTTGAACACAATTCCATTTGGTAGAATGATTGTACTAACTAGACTCCAAAAGAAAAGAAAAAGGGAGAGTTGATTTTTGTTAAATTTTCTTGTTAAGGTAAACCCAAATCGTTTCCGACTCCCAAGACACAGTACATCTAATGTACTCTGCAGTACATGACATAAATACTAATGAAATGAAGAATGTTGCATGACCAGAATCCAGTAAAATATAAGAAGACTGGTACCTTGGCATTATAAGCAGCAGCCTTTACACCATAACTAGAAAGGAACTTCGCTATGCTTAAAGTTTCTTTCCTGGTGGGAACATATATAATTGTTGGTCCCTCTCCAAGATCTCCCTTCTCAAGTGCGGGCCTTTCTTTTGGCTTGTTCAGCATGTTATGTGTTTCAGGTGACCCACAATTATCGAAGTGCTTTATATGTGGTTGTCCATAAAATTCACCACAAGAAACTGCAGCAGTTCGGTTAGTGAATAAATTTTCATTGACGAAGAAAGACGTAAGCTAAAATCACAACTACATATGAAAACTTCAAAATTTAAAGGGCTCGGATGGAGGAAATTGTAAGAAGACAGTGCTTTGACATCTATTGATGCTCTATGGAAGAGAAATAGAGTGATCCATCGAAAGAGTGGTTAAACATCTTTTTTGGGCTTATGAAGAGAAACCAATTGAAACAAGTAATTAAATACCCCTTGAGTTTGCACAGTAATGTTGCCCCCAATATATAGCTGATTTGGCAAATGTACATCCCACCCTCACCCCGCCTCCAACCAACCTGACAAAGAAACAAATGTGGGGAAAAGAAGTAAAAATGCTTCAGCTGAAGAACTATGATGTGAGAGAGAGCTTGAGTATACAATCATCTACATTATTTCCAAAGTCCTCCCTTCTTCTACTAAGCAAAGTCCTGAAAGGCTGAAAAGTTTACCCATTGTTTCTCTTCTTTTTCTTTTTCTTTTTCTTTTTTTTTTTTTCCTTTTTTTTTTTCTTTTTTTTATAATTTAAGAGAGGACGGATAGAGTTTGCAGATGAAATCATATTCCTCCACAGGACCTATCAAAAATCCTACTGTATGTATAATGCAATTTGGCTGATAGATATCATGTCAAATACATTCAAATATCTTTGAATTAGTTTGTTACCATCCAAATCATCGGCGTCATGGAACAGATCACACTCATCTTCAAGATACTGAACTGATGATTTTTTCTCATTTAGAGAGTTTAAGCTATTTTCCAACTGCAAACCAACTCCGTCATTTTCTGGAAGTACATCATCATCAATATCATGCACTTCATTTTCGCAAGTTCCATCTACTTCAGTCATGCTACCATCTGAACTGCAACTAGAGTTTTCAGTAGAATGCTCCAGAACTTGTGGGGTTAAATTATATGTTTTGGCAGATTTCTTCCCTGTGGTATAAACCTCTATTAATTCGCGGAAATCCTTGTCATAGGAAGACAAAGATGATGTTCTACTATGTTTCACCTGCAAATAGTACCAATTTCAGTGAAGGAATGGAAACAAAATGCCTGCAATAAAGTTGTACTTAAAAAAATGAAATAAAAATATTAATAATAGCAGCAATAAAAATAATAGTAACAAGAATACTTATGAATATAAATAATGATAAAAAATAAGAAGCACAGACATGTGACATAGAAACCATACAGTGCGTGACTTTTCAAAAAAAAATAATAATTATATATATACACAGATACATCAGGGACAAGACAATTTAAAATCTTCAAAATTATACATGTGTGTGTGTGTGTGTGTGTGTTTGTATGTATATTATAATGTTGTTTTGGTACTTTACTATTTCTTAATAAAATTCCTTAGCTTTGATTTTTTGCATGTGAGATCTTTGAATTAGAGAAGTGACTATTCGTTGTTTTAAAGATAAACTTTAGAGTGAAATATATATTACTACTGCCATCTGCTGTATAAAGAAAAAAGCATATAGTAGACATAAAACAAATTCAACATGAAGTTTGAATAATTTCTCTCATTATTTTACCTTTCTACTCAAATTCAATAATTAAAAATTTCCCAATATTATATTACAAAATTTACAAAAACAGCACTTTTGGTGTCCATGATGTCGCATGGATATGTTTCTAGCAATTGTTAAAACTATAAAGTATATGTACAATTTAGGGTACACCACTTCGTGCCTTGGTTACGTGCCAATCGCGCATCCCTCGAGTGTCAAATTTTTATAAAGATAAATAAAAAAAATTGGACACCCCATGTGGCGTGTCAAGCTCACGTCCCAAAGGTGTCCCTCAAGTGTCAAAACTTTAAAAATATATAAAAAATAGGACATACCATGTGAAGTGTTCAACACATGTCTTGGAGTGTTTGAGAAGTATTAGCGTCCATTACGTAACATATCAAACGCAACCACACCACCCTAGAAGAATTGTTTATGCTTCATAGACTAACTACAATAGTAATAAATTATGCCCCGTTTAGTAGCAATTTTTCACCCCAAAAAATCAATTTTTTCACTGTCATTTTACAATTCCAAACATCATTTTTTACTTTTTCACTCACAGGTAGAACCCACTTTTCTCTCTAATGGTTAAAAAATCAATTCTTATAATCACTACCAAACAGACCCTATATAACATTATTGCATATAACTACATGAGAATAAAACATAGATCAAGATTTGCAATCACGTGCATATTATCAGCTGCACAAACAAATGGAAAAAGCTAGTATATCCTGTGTGGAATAGTAAAGAAATGAATACTGACCGAGAAACAAAGATTTGGCCGGAAAAATGAAGTAATAACAATCTTTGTCTCCTTCAACATGCATAATGATTTTAGAATGTCTTCTCGAACCCGAACAGTTGCAGTAGCAGTCAAAGCCATCAATGGTATGTCAAATTTCAAGAATTTCAAACTGTCCCTTCCGAAGTTCTCTCTTAAAACACATAGCCGCCTGAAATGAAGGAGAAGTTATTGGTGAGAGAAGATGGTAAGTGACTGATTTAAATATAAAATAATTTTTTTTTTTTTTTTTGGCTCGTGGAAACAATTACAATATGAACTCTACCATGTGTCTACATGTTCAATGAGATTTTCTCTCTGGAATCATTTATTGTCTTTAACTTTTCTAAGCTTTAAGTTCAAAAACTGAATCCTAACTCATTATGTGGAAATTTGCTTCAATCATTGAACCAGAAAACTTGGTTCGTTCATATCAACTATTTCTGACTTTTCCTGAATTTTAGTAGCCTTATAATAAAGAAACTGAAAACCTACAAATGTCCCTTTTTGAAACAGACAACAGTTTGTGAAACTCGAGTTCCAATGCAAATCATATGAAATATTACTAAATATAACAATTATCTTGAAATAGAAAAGTTCTTTCGTTGGTAAATGTCATCAGGAAACCCATTGACCATATCAACAAAGAACAAGTAATGCATCAACCTAAGCTAAAGTAAAAGCTCCAGAAGTTTTATCATGCATTGTACTGAGAATAAATGACATGAAAAACAATAAGACAACTTTCTGAAAATAAATTTAAAATTTACAAGTCATATTAAATTTGACGATTCTGATAATTTCATGATTCCTTTACAAATGAATCAAACAGAGTGATTCCTTTACAAATGAATCAAACAGAGTGTCAAGAGACTAATGTTTCTTCAAGCAGCCATCCAAACCCCCATTCTGAATCTCTTGTGGCTTATATGGAATGCATACACCCAGTCCTTTATTCCATTAACCTCTCATGCCCAAATGCATCAGCTTATTCTAAATCAACACAATTAGCCAAGACTTGTATGAACTATGAAGGAACAAATGCCCTGATAAAACCCTACCAATTTACATGCTTCTGCTGTCCGATAAGCAAAATAAAATACATCACCTGATATATTATGGAAGCCACTCCTATTGTATTACCTAGTGGCCTCAGCTTGGTGAGGAAAGCTGTATAACAAGAAAGATAGCAACAATGTAAATAGATAACTTGCTCGTGTGAAACATGGTCAGAGTTATTTGATGACAAAGCCAAGGAATAGGAGAGGGCAGAAAAGCATGTGGTGCTTCTAAAATTGGAACTAAGTTGGACACATTCGAACTTCTGTGGCAGGATGGGATCAATAGATTTTGGCCAGGTTTTGGGGAAAACCATGATGACCACAAAGGTTAAGTGGCCAATACCCAAGATCAGAAATACCCTGGCTGCGACAAATGATTGTTCTTGTTCCCAAGATGGTTCAATATAGAAATCAATGCGTAAACAATTTCACCAGGTGACCTTACCCTTGTGACTCTTAAAATGTTAGTGAGGTTAAATTTTTTATTTGCTGGTTTCTCATGAATCCATAAAATATGTCAAAAATCCCTACCAACAAGAAACAAAACTACAAGTCTTCATCAACCTCAATTGCAGAAAACTTATTGAAAAAGAGTGTGCAACTAAATTACAGTTTCAACTATTATCATTCAGGAAGAATCACAAAAAAACCAATGTGTTCAAATTAATAGGCAGAACAAGTAAGGGGACGCAAGTGAAGAACATAAACCTGTAGTCAGGTCGAAAATCATGACCCCATTTAGAAACACAGTGTACTTCATCAATTGCAAATAGTGCAATTCCCCGGCCTTCCGCAAGGCTCTGAAGTGGTTTGATAAGTCTGCAAGAGAATGCAAATGCTCATATCGGTTACAGTTGGCAGACATATAAAAGATCGAACATCAAAGTGACAAAAAAAATTTCACCTTAAAATTGTCTCTGGGCAGACATAAATGATGTTGTAAACACCACTAATCGCTTTTTGTTCAACACTTTTGTCAATTTGACCAGATCCAAGAAAGCAAGCTGATATCCCATGCTTTGCTAGCTTCAAGCACTGATCATGCATCAAGCTAATTAATGGTGAAACAACAACAACCACCTTCCCAGTCAACAACGCTGGAATTTGGAAACATAGAGATTTTCCTACAAACAGGTCGTTGTTTTGAGATGCAGAAAATATTCCTGAATCAAATAATGAACATAAATAGATGCAGAGTACAGGAAGGGGTAAAAGTAATGTACCAGATCCTGTTGCTGCAAGAATAAGACAATCTTGATGGGATAACCAAGCTTCCAAAGCTTCTTTCTGAAAATTCTTCAAGGATGAATATCCAAAATGCTTACCTAGTAGACTATTCACCTTATGTTCCCAGTATGACCTAAGTTCTTCTTTGTCTTTGCAATAAGATGGTAGAATGGTCATTGCTGGACTGATATTTAAACTAGGATCCATGGTTAAGGGAAGGGAAACTTCTGGTTCTTCCACATATCGGGGCATGATATTTGACTTAGAGGCAGATGCATGAGATTCAATTGTAACCTTGCTTCTCTTGGCCCTCGATGCTGACATCAGGTGTTCTGTTATGCTTTGTTGCCGCATCTTACCAAAAGATTCTGTGGAAGAGGTGGTTCTTTTCCCAAGAACCTTGTTACTTACATTGAGACATGCAGAACTACTTGATGCACTGCTGTTGGTTCTTCGAGAGCCATTCAAGATAAACTCAACTGCATCATCCAATGATGCACCCACTGATTTTACAGCTTCTGTAATATCAGAGAAGTCAAACCCCATTCCAACTAATTCTGCAATAACATGATCGGAATCTACATTGTACCCTTTCATGATGTAGATACTGTTGTCTTCAAAACAACAGTACAAAAGAAACCTAAAAAGAAAGCACACATAAAGAAATGAGTATGGGCCAAAACCAAGTAAAAATTATATAGGAAAGCAAACATTAAGAAATGAATAAGAGTGCAGAACCAAGTAAAAAGTTTACAGGAAGTTCACTATGGACTCACTCCAAACATTTGAAGCATTTGTTTGACAACCCTTAAAACAAAACTCTTTTTTTTCTTTTTCGAACTTGTTTTTAACTACACATTTTCATAATAAAATATTGTGCAAGTATACCAAAGACTCTTTTCTACCACATTCTTCAAAAAATAACCATTCCAAAATTTATTATCCTCAAAAAACTCATGGTTATCAAACCGGGGCGAAGTCAATGGCGGATCCAGGATTTTGAGTCAGCATGGACGACTGTTGATCGCCAACCGTCGGCCCAATAAAATATTACGAGCTCGTTTGATGTCATTTTTATTTTTTATTTTTTTGCAAAAAATGCTTTTGGAATGGTGATTTGATGAAAAATATGTGGTTAAAAATAAAGAAAAGTTTTGAATTTATGTAAAATTATTTTATTGAAGAATATATGGTTGAAAATAAAATAGAGAAAAATTTATTCATAAATAAATGGAAATCAAACAAGACCTAAAATTTAAATATAACAATTCTTTTGTTGAAATTGAACATATATAATTTTGTTATAAGAATAAACTATACTCATCAAATAACATTGTTGCCAAATTTTATATAATTCAAAAGAAGAATACGGGTTCAAATATTTACTATTGCATTAAAGCACGCTAATATCTAATATATATAAATTTGTTAAAACCATTGTCACGATTCAGCGAGTGGCATAGTGGTCAAACTTTTTATAATTCTATTCTAAAAAGAGCTCCAAGTTTGAATCCCCTCCCCCTCATTCCTTTACTTTTTGGTAAAAATTGTAGAACTATAAAAACTGTGCAATAAAAATTGGTTGATCGAGGATAGCGCTAACCAACTTGGCCGGAAGCAACGTTTGAATGGAAAATGAATTATCAGAAATATAACCTAAAAAAATTATCTGTTGTCAACCAAAAAAACAAAAAAAAAATAGCTGCTGGCAGATCCAGCAAATGCAGCCGCAAGTGCCCGCCAGGTACTGGATCTACCACTATGCGAAGTGTAATTGGACCTTTTTCAGAAAATTTTATATGACACAAACTTCCTTTTAAAATGTGAATTCCATAATCAGAAACCAACTGGATCCAAAGAAAATAAAATGTGCTACAAACATGAAGGAGAATTATTTCAAATCCGAGTTCCAAGGTTCCAGTTACATCCATCTAATCGACTATAGTATTAAGGATAATAAAGTTGTAACTTTAGCAGGCAATCAGACTTCAGCTTCAGATAACAAAGAAAATATTGTCAAAACAATTAAGATATATTCCTCAAAATCCAGTTTCGACTATTCCGGATTCATATTTGCAAGCAAGCACGGTAACAATCAAAAAATTTGACATACTACTTCAGCATAGCGACCCACATTAGACCCCAGAAAGAAACCAATTAACTATACAAAATCAACCACACCAAATTCGAAAATTTTACGGTTTATGTCAAAACAGAATAGTTAATCATTATAATATTTCTGTAATCATTTTTATGAATGTGTGTGTGAGTGTTGATTTCTTGATTACCTTCCACAGTATTGAATTTCGGTAGGTAAAGAAGGGAGGGAATGCCCTAGAAATTGAATTGCAGAATCAGGCAGTATACCGCCAAATGCACCCAATTTACAATCAGAGGGTAAATAGAAATGTCTTAAGACGTCGTATTAATTATTTGGCTGCCCGTACATTTTCCCAACTCCTTCTGGTCCAAGTCAGTGACAATTTAATCGGAATCAACCTCCCAAATCAAAGTCAAATCAAATCGAAGATTTTGATTCGGGTTCCCAAAAGACTAAGTATCCGTTTGATCCCCATTTTTGCCCAAAAATACATTTTTCTCATCACATCAACAAAGGACCTACATATTATGAGGGTGTTTGGGAGAGATTTTTATGTAAAAGTATATTTTTAAATAGTAAATTGATGAAAAATGTATGGTTAAAAAATAAGGAAAAGTTTTTTATTACGTCTAATATTATTTTAATAAAAAATGTGTGGTTGAAAAGAAGCGAGAGAAAAATACAGCTTGAAAAAAAGGATACCAAACGGGTTATATTATATGTTTTGATTTGAATTCAAAAGGCATAAAATTCCAATTTCACCCATGGTCTCTCGGCTGAGTGGTTTTGGGATGGAAAGTCGATGGGCAAGGGCAAGGGCAAATTTTGGAAAAGAAGAAGTCTTGGTCTCTGAGCAAATCACGTGAGTTAGCAGGCAAATAATGAGCAGCGGTCTAAAAATTCATTACTGTGCAAAATTAATGGAAACCAAACAGCCTCTAAATTAGATATCAAAATTGAGAACTGATAATTGATTGGGTTTCGGATCGATTCTTGATTCTTGAACTAAAATCGTGAATACCAAACGGAATCGATTCTTTATATATAATTTTTTATTTATAATTTGTAGGCCGGTAAAAAATTACATAACCTAAAAATCAAGATTGTTTCTTGTTATTTGCCTCTTGCACCGCATCACATTGTTGTATTTCAAAAGTTAGTACGTGTTAACCTTTGTAAGTTAGGCTTTCTATGAATCAAAATGTTAAAGCTAGATTGTGGTGTAAATTAATGAATCAAAGTTTCATTCTTTACAATTTGAGCTTTTTACTTTCTTGAATTGTTTACAAACTTATATGATTTTTTAAAATCTTTCTTATAATGCAGGATAATTGAACTTAATATATTCGTAGTTTGGGCTATAGCGTTTTCTTAAGTACGTGGTTCTCTTTTAAATTATTATTTTGTTGGATTATGATACCTAATGAATCTCAAGCTATGATATAAAAGTCGGAATATAATTTCACGGGCCTCAACCAATGATAAATTAATTACCAGTGGAAATTACACAAAACTAGATGTTTAAAAATCACTTTTCAATAATCAGGTCCAAAGTTTAATTAATCATAAATCGGGTATTATAATTAACCCACCACACCTCAACATCCCCAAACCATAGATTTATTTCTCCTTTCATTTTCATCATTCCCTCTCTATACCGTCCGTTGTCTGGTCCGTCTCTTTCTTCTCCGACAACATGGCACCAATGGTGTGTTAAGGCGCGGCATTAGCGCAGCCGTCTCTTTGGGCAACTCCATCACGACGCCTTTGCATGTAGATCTTCAGGTTCATCAGTACACAGATCGCGACAATTCCTAGGAGCGTGAGTGCTGCATCTCCTATGCTCACGACGGTAACGAGTGTGAGCGCGTTTCTTCTCCACTCAGCTTTTGCCGGCCAATGTTGTTGTGAACGATGGCGTCGCGAAACAAAGGCGAAATCGACGTTGGATTGGGTAGGTAAGGTGTGGTGTGGTGTGTTGGGGTGAATCTAGGTAGCGGTGTGTTGTGTTGGCATTACGGCTGTGTGAGTTCGATTTGGTGGCATCTAAGTTTTTGGGATGGTATGGAGTGGTGTGGTGGTGTTCTAGGTAGCCATGCGGTGTGGCGATGTGGCTGAACAATTTAATCTGGTGGTGCCGAAGTTTTTGGGGCTGATTTTTGTTTGTTGTATTTGCAGTTCTTAACAGTGGTTGTGGTGCTGTACAAGCGATGGTGTGGTGGTAGGCAATTTTTGGTTAGCAATGGCGTGGTGGTCGGTGGTTTTTGTTGGCAGTTTTCTGATCGACCTGTTGTACTCTTACTGTTCAATCTCTGTCATTGCTGGCGTTGGGTGGCCTGCTTGGCCTAGTGCGGTGGCTGGTGTTGAGTTATTTTAGTTAGGTTTGTAAGTTTTTGGAGTGGTCGCGATGGTTGTGATGGTGTTGTGGCGGAGGATAGTGTTTCTGACCAAGTATTGTGACGGATCGAGAACGGGTGTTTGGTGTCTATAATCAACTATTTGGTCATCTGTGACTAACTATTAATATGTGACCTTGAAATTTGATCATTTTGTGACTAAAAAAGTAATCTGTGATCATCAAATTTGAAAATATGTGACCTATAATTTTTTGGATTTATGACAAATGACACAAACTATAACCTATAAATTTTTAATCCGTGACCTCGAAATAATGTGACCTATAAAAGTTTTGATTTGTGATCTCGAAATAATTTGTGACCCATAATTATGTATATGTAACCATTAATTGTATAATTGTGACTTTTCTTATATTTAATTAATAAATATTTTTAACTAATTAGGAAAAAACAGGAATTTTGCATTAGTGAAACTTAACACCTGATTTTTGAATTGTGTATAGTTAAAACCTGATTTGTGAATTTTTCCCTTAATTACCATCAACCAAGTCCAAAATGCTCAACCCGAAAACAATATGGATAGTTGGAAATAGCTTAAGAAATTAATGCTACTCAAAACTCATTTAATATTTTATTGGTCCAACTAAAGCCTAACTTAGTGTATATATATATATATATATATATATATATATGGTGTCTTTGCCCTAGCCATCCAGTGTATGATTTGTGTGTGAAAGGAGAAAAATACACGGCTATGCTATTGAGAGAGAAATATGTGTGTGTGTGGTAGAGACAAAAATCCGGCTGCCATTACTTCTAAAAACCAGCAATTACTTATTTCATCATTGGTCTCCATTTTTTCTTTTTCATTAGTTTCCTTATTGCGTTTGTGGCTACAAATCATCACCATTATCTTGTCATGTAGGTAAAATTGAGGAGCAACAAGGTGAATATATTAGTTATTGGTTGGAGCTATTTGGATTGGTTGTCTAATAGCAAAAGGTAACATGAAATTGAGCCCAAAAATCACTGATTCACAATCCTTGGAGTGAGCTTCCATGATAATTGCTATTAGAGCTTCAAGGTGGTGAATTTGGCTCGAAAAACGTACCAATAACTATCCAAAAAACTAGCGAAAATGAAGCAGAAAACATATTGCAAAATTCTTCAAAAAATTGCCCAAAAATCGAGGCTACTTTCATGATTTTCGATCAATCCAGAAGGAGTTTGTGAAAACAAAGACCACCGGCGTGATGTGCAGTTAGAGGCGCACCAGGGTAACCGTTAAGTATAACTGTTCCACGGCGTGTAAGCCCACGCACAAAGGCTGTTGGTAGCATGTAATGGCCCGTGCAGTGTTTTCTGGAGATCTATTAGTAGAGATGTCAAACGGGCCGAATGGCGCTCAGCTCGTCAAAACCTGGCTTGTGGATGGCTCGGGCTTGTCAAATGACGAGCGAGCCGAGCAGGGACTCAATCCCACGAGCCGAGCCTGCTTGACTCATCGAGCCCACGAGCGGCTTGTGAGCACACGGCCCATGAGCCATTTTGACGAGCCTGTGAGTTCGTAAAAAAATATGAAATTTTTTTTAAAAAAAGGTCCAAAATGTGCAAATTTACCAAAAAAAAAAAATTTAATTAAAAAATCACGGGCTCACGAGCGGCTTGTGGGCTCGGCTCGGCCCCCGACCTCAAGCTCGGCTTGTCTTTCACGAGCCACGAGCCCGAGCCGAGTGATCCCTCGCTGTTAGATAATTTGTTCCTAATATCATTTTCTAACATTTTGATGTTGTTAGTTTTCTATTTTTGGTCATACAGTGGAATCTGGACAGGTGTGTTTTTCCTACATTTAGGATTCGATTGTGGGTAATTGATTTCCGCAATTGTTAGATACTTTAGTACAAATAGTGGTTGTCTTAAGTGATAAATTCGCATCTCTCGTAATTTACAAACTCAAATTGATCCGCTTTGATATGTTGACTTATCTCAATTTAAATTTTAGCATTAGGGGTAACCATGGCTTGCGCTAGAAATTTAGGAATTATTTACTTTGTTTTGAAGCGTTGAATTTAACTCACGCATGTGGTGAATCATATGGAAAGAGCCATTATGTTTTATCACGGTTAGAGATAATAAAAAACTGAAAGTAGCAACCTCCAAACAATTAACACTTCTCGAGATAAGGATGGCAAAATGAGGTCCAGTTACCATTGTGACTCGAGATAAAGAAGATCCAAATTTTTGGAATCGATTTCAACTATATTTGAAAAATATTCCTAGTGGTGAATTGGACTGTAAGATAATTCTATACTTCAATACATTTCAATTGAATCAATATATTTTAATTTCATGTCAATTGGGTCTACAATTTAGGGACTGTCTAGCGTGCTAAATAGCAAAATTCGGACCGTTGAGAATCAAAAAATGGTCCGTTGGACAATTGTTTAATGGAAAAAGGCTAACAGCATTTTACCTTCCTTTTTCCAACATTGCCCTCCTCATTGAATGCTCAACAACCAACACCTTTCTCTCTCCCTTCTCTTTCCACAGACTCATTAGAAAATGCATATTTTTTTTCATCACAACCAGTCGACGAATTACTTCCAGATCCAATCGCAATTTTTTTCCCTCCGTCAATTAGCGAGTCCAACAGCACATAGTTGACTTTTCCATCCGGATTGTTGAATTTCTCCTCGTCGACGGGGACAATTGTTTGTACAAGGTAGACGTCGACTGTACCCGTCCGTCGATCACCGCTTAGTTGCTTATACCATGGATTCATATGTCCCCTCGGTAAGTGACGAAGGTTCCTTCATTTTTGTTTCGCTGGCGGAGCATATAGGTTCTGACTGTGTCCAATTTATTTACCAATCTGATGTGCTCCGTTTGTTGCCACAGATGGGTACTCCAGTACATTCGTCTACCTCCAATACTTGTCCAAGTCACCAGCGCGCAAGAATGCCCTATGGAATCCACAAGAGAATCGAATTTTCATTGCCGCGTGCGAGATAGTGAATGCAAACGGGCACCGTAATGAAAAGTGCTTCAAGAAACACGGATGTGACCAAGTCATCCGTCTGTTCAACTCTAACTTCGGTCACTGTTGGACGAAGCAGCAGCTTAAGAATCATTGTGACGGTCTTCGGCAGAAGCATAGACGTCTACAAGAGCTACTAAACAACACTGATGTCGAGTATATCTCCGCAATGGGAACATTTGCTGCCTCGAACAAGTGGTGGGAGGGGAAGATTAAGGTACACTGCAATTTACCGTATCGTTTACAAGGTAAAATAAGCATGGTTTGTGAATCATTATTATTATTTTTCACAATTTGGCCAGCAACATCGAATCGCCAATTTCAGATTAACAATGTATAGGTAATTACAAATTTCATGGCATAAATCCGAAAAAGGGACCAGTCAACCCATTATTTAAAATTAACTTCGGCTTCTGATTGGCCATTGATTATATTCCTCAAATGAACAACTATTGCTATTATTTTTAAGAAAGGGGATAGGATAGGTAGACTAGTTAAATGTTAGTGGGTATGCATATGTATTTTTGCTTGTTTATTTTAAAGTTTTTTTCACATATTTCTTTTTTGGGAATTGATACAGAAGAATTTGTTTGTTGGTTTCTGGATGTGTTGATTAATTGTGATATGCTGAAATTGGCTTTTTTATTTTATTTTATAAATTAAACTATCAGCAATTTTTGAAGAAATAAATTAAACTATCAGCAAATTTTCCATTGTGATATGCAATTTTTGTTTTTCCTTGATTGTTGAAGAAATAAAAAAAAAATTATTATTTTTTGCATTAATCCTTAAGAGCGAATATTTGTTTGAGTTTGTAGATTAGATCAACATCACTATTTCTCGAAACCAAAAGAAAATTTTAAATTCTCGCCCACACCACTTGCAACGATTCTATTGGTTCATACATGTACATGCGAATCATCAATCCGTACTCATGTCAACCGTTCGATCACCACTAGAAAATCCTAACTGCAGATTCAAGAACTAATCTCATTGGCTGACTGAAAGCACACGGATTGCCATCAACCCACGCTCTCACCCCCTCGAGCGCAGTACAAATATCACCCCATTTGTCTTTTACTTTCGCACATTACTCCAACTTTTCAAAATCTGCCAATACATTTTTCCCTCTCAAAGAGTGAAGGTATTTATTTCTTCAATTGGAGGAAAGTTAAGAAATGGAATTTGCAAAGACAACAATCACGAAGGGCGTCGGCGGCCGAAAGGGTGGCGATAGGAAGAAGGCCATACCCAAATCGGTGAAAGCTGGGCTGCAATTTCCGGTAGGTCGAATCGCCCGTTTTCTCAAAAAGGGTCGGTATGCGCAGCGTGTGGGTATTGGAGCCCCGATTTACATGGCTGCTGTACTTGAATACCTGGCTGCTGAGGTAAATCTACAAATGATTTTTCTAAAGATTTTTGGGCATATAACGCATATTCAGATGATTTCGATTTCTATTTCGGAGTTTTTGGGTTCGAACCTATTTATGTGATTTGTTATTAAAATTTTGACAAATTTTCCAAACTAGGTTTGATCGACTTGAATCCTATATTAATTTTCCTGTCTATGTTGGATGGTTTATACATATTTATTTAAATTACATTTGCCTCTTGATTAAAGGTTTGGCCAATTCATAAATTTTTTCAATGGGTTGTCACTAACCTTGAATTTTTAGTTCATTTGCTCGACTTTAATACTATGTTTATCATATTGTCTAAATCTTATTTTCTGCATTATTCCTTGTTTGAAGGTGTTGGAATTGGCTGGAAATGCTGCAAGGGACAACAAGAAGAGTCGGATTATTCCAAGGCATTTGCAGTTGGCAATAAGGAATGACGATGAATTGGGAAAATTGATGCATGGTGTAACAATTGCGAGTGGTGGAGTTTTGCCCAATATTAATCCAGTTCTTTTGCCCAAGAAATCTACTGCTAATGAATCTCAGGATAAGGCCACCAAGTCCCCGAAGGCATCCAAATCTCCAAAAAAGGCCTAGATTTAGCCCTACAATCTAGTTTCAATCTAGGATTTATTTTATTTTATTTTTTTGTTATTGACATGAAGATTTATATTAATGAAAAATTGCTTTTGGTTATTATTTACGTTCTTTCTGTGCCTTCAATCTTTATTTATTATTCATACAAAGTATGAAATGGGTAATAATATTACCACTAAATTAATGGGTTTTGTTATTTTGATCATTTCTAGGGTGGATCTAAAATTATAGTTCAGTGGCGGTGAAACAAAAAATGGGTTAAAGTAAATTGTGAAAGAAATAAGAAAAAATTTGAAAATTTAAATTTCACAAGGTGGAATTAAAGATTTTTGAAAATTTAGTGGGGGCGGTTGACCCACTTGTCTCTTAGTGGGTCTGCCCTGGGATCCTTTTGCATGATTTTAAAATTGCATTATATCATGTTCTTGAATATGATTTTTCTCTAATATTGAAATTTGATTTATCATGAATTGTGGGAAAAAGGATCTGCGTTGATTTCTTTTGATTTCAACATAATGTATCGTGCAGTTTGAGAAGTATTGCATCAATTTTAGCATAATGCTTGATTTGTTTGTGATTTAAAGGTTATAATTGAGTTTTAATTTGCTTGAAGTGTTAGTAAAATGTTATTATCTAGTTCAACAGAGAATACTTTAAAAATGAAGTATGCTACAATTTGTTTAAGAAAATATATGTATGAGTTATTCAACAATGAATTTGGTAATTCTATGCAATCAATATCATTGATTGATTCTTTCAAATTAATTTTGTAGATGGATGCAACCAATTGTGGCAATTATGTACACGTGTCTCAATCTGATGAGATTGGGTCATCATCAATAAAAGGCTAAGCACCTTATGTTGGGATGAAATTTAAGACAACAGAGGAAGCAAGGACATACTACGAATATTATGGACGACAAAATGGTTTTTGGATTCTTACTCGAATAGCAGTTAAGTCATGCCCACGTATAAATGAAGTTTCCCTTATTAAATTTGTGTGCTCACATGAAGGAAAATATTATATTAGGAAGATTGTTGAAGGATCAAGTGAAATAGAGAATTGTCAAATAGAGGGTTCTACAAAAAGAGGTTGCTCAACGGTTAGAGATGGATATAAGGCTAACATACGAATCTCAAACGACATTGAAAGTGTTTATTTGATTGTTAAAGCATTTGAAGATGATCACAATCATAAATTTGTTTCACCACTGAAATATGATCAAGCTTTAGTTCCAATTGTAAAAAGGGAAAATGATGAAGACTTTGAATCAGAACATAAATATAGAATTGTTAATGATGATAATTTACTTCTAAAGCATGCATCAAAAGTATATACTAGGAATATTTTTGAGAAATTTAAAGAAGAATGGATGAAAGTTAAGGATTACGGAGTTGAAGAAGTGAATTATGATTGTGCGACATACATAGTTCAACATAGAGAGAAAATTTGAGAAGTTTCAAGTAAGATATAATTTGCAAAATCATGAAGGAAGATGTGAATGTCAACATTTTGAGTTTGTGGGAATAATTTGCAGTCATATTTTCAAAGTAGTTATTCGTGAAGACATTGACGTACTTTTAATTTTATTAAAAAGAGGAGGATGCAAGGTGCAAATAAATTTAGGAGTACAGAATCAGAAAAAATTGTGATTAAGGATGATAAGCAACATATAAAGGCATTGAGATTTGGTCATATGTGTCGGATAGCAACCCAACTAGCTTGTCATGCTGTCGAATCGAATGAAGGATACAAACTATATATCAAAGCTACTGAAGAAGTACATGAGCAGATTTACAGAGTGGATTTGGAACAAACCTGCGTGTTGAAACTTCTCCAAATCTGTTAGCTAATTGTAATGGGGACAGATCTCAACTTGTACTGTTAAATCCCAATGTTTCAATCACAAAAGAAAGGAAGAAGGATGAGAAAAGCCAAGGAAAAGACCATCTTACTTCGAAGAGGTTCAAATCAAGTATTGAGTTGGCACAAATAACTAAAAAGCGTTATTGTGCACTATGCAACGAATCAGGCCATGATAAGAGAATATGTCCCAAGAACCCTAAGAAAAATGTAAATGGGAGTAATGAGCAAATGGACTAAAGCATGTAAGTAAATATTTTTTTTTTTTTTTCACTGATAAATCAGTTTTTTATGTGTTTGTGTACTAAGTTGTTTTTCTTTTGTGTAGGATTAAGATTTCAAGCCAAGCAATGTATAAATGAATGCTGATAAATGTTGGTGATATAAGATTAATCTTTACTCCATATTCTTGTGAATGCTTGGTGAATGTACAGATGATTGCTGGTGAATGTTGTTCGTAGGAGATTAATCAAAACAGAATGCTGGTGAATGTTGTGCTTGGCAATGCAAGCTGCTGCACTTTAATAAGACACATTCTATCAACATCTCTTACCTTAAGTCTGAATGTATCAATGTTGTGATAGTAGTTAAAGATTTATCTATTCTTCTTAGTATTTTTTATTCATTGCAAATCTTCCTTAGTATTTCCGATTTACTGCAATTTTTTTTCTATTAATAGTATCCATTTTCATTCAATGGGAAACAAATGTGAGTATTCTAACTAGACATTCTGTATTACACTTTCTTACTTGGAATGGTTTGGAGAGTATTGTAAAGAAATTTTCTGAATTTATCACCCTTGTGGTTTGACAAAGCTATGCACAACATAAACCAGTGATCTACCAGATGCCCAGTGTCCACATAAACCATAACCAGTAATCTAACAGATGCCCAATGTCCACATAAACCAGTAATCACAGACCAAGAAAAAATGAGATTTATATAGACATTACATCATAGTTTATCTTGAATTAAACAGAACTGGTTAACCAAATTTTACAATGGACAAGAAATCAAAATACAAAAACTCAATTGGAAATGCCTCAATTGATACCAAATGAAACCCAAATTTTACATAAAAAAATAAAGAAAGTAAAGATAATACGGAAAAATGCTTGATAAGGAGGGCTCGACCAGGATACCATCATCCCAAATCCTCCATTTTTCGAAACAACACTTTCGTCATCTCATCCCCTGCTCATCTTAAATTTTCAGCCTTTGGATCAGAAACAGAACGGGCCTTTGCTGAATTCTTTCCTTGCCTCGACGAATCAGCCAAATTTTCACAAATAGCTTGAAGTTTTGGATAAACAGAGGATGATCAGTCCCTTGAATCCACTGAATTCTTGACGTAACTGATGCTTAAGGTGAGGACATATATCCATGGATGATGGAGATTCAATTTCGCTTGAATTCAATGGATCACAGAAATGGATGAGCAAAGTAATTCTTTCCAGTTTCACTTGAATTCCCTCAATGCCTTCAAAATGTTGTCTTAGACCAGTTATCGGTCAAATAAATAATTAATAAATAAGAGCCAACAATAATCTTCCACCATTGAAGCAATCAATCCAATTTTTGCCTTTTAGTTAAATTAATAGTTAGTTCATGATTAAGGAATCAAGAATTTAAATAATTAATTTATAATGAATATGTAATCCTCTCAAATCAAAATTTTCAAAATAAAAAGGGATGATTGTAACTCTCAATGATGCCAGAAGTTTGAGGGGTTTATAACTGAAAGTCAGTTTTAGAAAATAAAAAACCACTCATAATTCGAATTTCGGTGGAGATGATGAATTTTGGTGGTGATGGAGAATGGAATAAGATATAGAAAATCACGATGTTGTTGAGAGATTTTAGGGATTAATATAAGGTAATTATGAGTGTTTGGAAGTAAGATTATGAATTCTTTAGTGTTTTAATAGATAAATTCTTAGCGTTAAATTGATTTTAATTACATGTCACGATTATTTGTCAAAAATACATTCCAAATTAATGGGTAGGAGGAACGATTCTGAATTATCGATTCACATCTTTCATATGTCACCTACATTTCTGACGTAGAGGCACCATCGCCACCATAATGTCTTTGATGGAAGTTAGGGTATCCTCATAATTTGGTTGAGAAGTTAGGGTTTTTCATGGGTAGGGATGTGAAGATCTTGATTTTAGAGGTTTGTGATGTTTTAAATGATTTTATGGGCCTCCAGAGGTCAATGTTGATTCTACCCAATCTATCCCGAACTACTAGCAATCACCATTGACAACACAGCGATAATTTCCCCAAGACATGTTGGAAATTATGTTGGTGGAATGATACCGAGTTTTCTCATACCGATTTGTAATATTAGTTAATTACACAATAAACTAAATTATCATAAACCACAATATATTAATCTAATTTACAACTAAATTATATTAGGTTATGTAAAACACGTTAATTTAATAAATCTAAACGAGAAAACTGAAAATTAATAGAAATTTCAGAGAACAAAAAAAAAAAAATAACGACATGCTTGTAACTTCATATAAACTTTTAACTCGAGGCCTGTGTAAATACAGTGTCCTTAAAACAGATTCGCCATCTCACCGTACGTGCTTGAGTTTTAATCCGAGCATCTGTTTCCCATGATACAACAGTATATAGTAGAATCTGAGCACCACAGATACTACTTTGACGAACTGATCTAGTATCCGAACAATATCCCGCAAGAACAAGACCTTACTGGACAAGGAATGCAAAAAAGAAGAAAATGTGTATGCAGGAATGTTGGTGAGATTTTCGAGTGTGTTAGACAGCTGGAAAATGAGCCTTTTTATAGGCATACTGCCCATTAACATTGTGATAATTGGGAGTCCAATGGAGTTACTGTCCATTAACACTGTGACCATTGGGAGTTCATTGGAATTTTTGCAGTTTCAGAAACTTAAAAGTCATTGGAGAAAGTAAAAAAAATTGCAAAATATGGGCTCTCCGAAGGGGCGAATTTTACCTTATTCGGTTCGACATTCGTGTGCGCGGGTCGCACCCGCACCCAAGTTCAAGGTCCGAAAGCTATTTCGGTCCGAGATTTGCACCCCCTGCGCGCGCACGTGGGAGAGCCTCTATGTTACACATGATTACATCATTCTAAAGTGTAGGCATATATAAAGTTGTTCATGCTTTCTTCATTTTCCTATGTGGGACAAATGTCACTTTTCCCACATAAACCATCTTTCAATGGCCAACTTTGAGCTCC